CCCCCCCCCCCCCCCCCGGCTACATGCCTGGTTCAGCAGGTATATTGGTCCAGGACCTAGCAAGCCAAGGAGAGGTCCATGGATTTTTTTGACATCCCTTGAATTTCTGATGGTAAAACAACAAAAAAAGATCTTGTTCCACCATGAATATATCCTCTGGAGCTCTTGCCAACAAGTGATAAACCTGTCGGTATGATTGCATGCAATGTGTGATCTGAATCAGTAAAGTGACTACTAATAATGAAATCATAGATCTTCAGGGTATCCAACCAAAATTTTGTGGATAGACTGTTTATTTCCTTTCAGAAATATTATGTTCCAGCTCTCTTTCACACTGATTTGTTAATTTTGGGGTCAATGAAAACTTCGACCAATATTCTTTTCAACACCAGTGCAGTCTGAAACTTTGGTAGTGTGTGTTTGTGTGTCTGCCTGAATCTACACTCCCATAAAGGCTTGGATACAAGTTATTTATTTTTATGAACCTGTTAGGGCGGTTCCACACAGGGCTTTAACTCAAGCACAATTGTGTTTCTAAAACCTGATTGGGCCCAAGTTGACATCTAGACACCTCCCTCCTATATCCACACTTTCCTTGTCTCCGAGTGCATCTGCACTTCCGGCAGGGCACCCAGACACAAAACAAAATCCCCCAGAAAAGCCTGAAAAATAATATAATTTAATTTGCCACCTTTCCCTCCCTCTCCGAAGATCTCCTGGCACATAGAAATGATGTGCCAGGAGAAGGGGGGAGGAGCCATTTTCCTCCTCCCCATTCTCCTGCCGCATAATTTCTACGCACCAGGAAAGCTCCGGAGAAGGCGGAATGGCAGTTTGGTAAGTTATTTTCTTTGTAAGGGCTTTTAAAGGGGGGTTTGGGAGGAGAGCCCAAGAAACCCAAGACAGCTGTGTGAATGGACATTGAAAATCACGCGATGTGATTTCCAGGCCCAATCCACACACCACCCACAGCTGGAAAAATCCAGGTCTTTCCAGCTGTTAAATTTCTTTGTTTTTATGTGAGGTGTTGTTTGGACATACCATGTGAAAATGTGGGAGGTTGTGCATTTTGGGTGCTATCTGGATGTGCCCTTAGCAATCTACAGACCTCTGGGAAGGGGTTTCGATCGGTCCTACTACCCCGCTCAAGCGCGTTTGGTGGGAACAAGAAAGATGGCCTTTTCAGAGGCTGCTCTCAGACTGTGGAACTGCCTCCCACGAGAGACCAGGATGACTCCATACTTGTTTGCCTTCTGCAAACAGGTAAAGACATTTCTTTCCCATCCGGCCTTTTTTGGAGAATTAGGAGCACACTCCTGGGGTGGTTGTGGGGGGAGTTGGAGAGGATATGTAGTTTTAAATGCAGTTTTAATTGTACAAATATTTTTGTTGTTGCATTTTAACTTATATCCATGACACACATTTTTAATTGTTGTTTTTAAATTTAGTATTTATTTCTTTAAATTTACTGGGTTGTGTCATGTAATTGTGAGCCATCTTGAGTCCTCAGGGGGAGAGTAAAAAATTAATAAAATAAATATATGGTCACTGCAGATCCATATAGTGCGGTTAAACTGCATTATATAGATATTGACCATATATTGTAACTACATGGCAGTGTAAATGCAGCCTCTTTAGCTATTCTCAAATGCCTGGCCAGCAGTTAAGTCATCCTATTGTGCAGGTGAAAAGGGAACTGCTTGTGTAAGGTCAATTGGACAAGTCCTTTTCCAAACCTTTAAAGAGTACAGTCTGTAGCATAATCAAGAGTTATGTTCATGTCACGCCCCACCAGGATTACATCCTTTATGTTTTGGAATAAATGAGGTAGCACCTTGCACTGCTGATGCATAGGAACATGTTTGCTAGGTCAAACCTTATGAAACAGTATTTCTGCAATGCTATCAGGAGGCATGCTGTGATAACTGAAAGCCATCAGGCTCCTGGGCAGCCAGCTAGCTGTGTAGAGCAATAGAGGGCTGATTTCACACAACCAATTTTCAGAATAAAAAGCCATGCCGTCCAAACTTTCTCTGTCCAAAGTCTTCATATATTACCCCCCTCCCCCCACATGTAATAACATTCATTTTCTACACATCTGTTCTAATATGTACTATAAAAACCTTTTAAATATTGGTTCACTAATTATAAGCTTAGAGATGTTTCAAAAATGAGTAACTCATGCTCCAACAGGCATAACAGCACCACTGCAACAGTACAGAATAAAAACAGCAAACCAGGAAAAGGATAAAGGTTATTTTTCACACAAAATGCATCAGGAGATTTCAGTTGGTGCTTTCCCACATTTAGCTTTAGGTCAACGATGCTGAAGGATGCACTGTCATGTGCCCACACAGTTTGGAGAGTCACTTAAAGGTGTGCAATACATGAAAACAACGTGAAAGAAAGATGCCGGTTTTGAACATGATGCAGATAGAAAATATGACTGATTCATGCTTCTTTGTCAGAGAAGCTTCAGAGGAAATATGGAAAAACAAGCACAAAGCAATATAAAGGAAACTGTTCACTCATGCTTCCTCTGTGTCACTTGCTGAGAGGAAAAGAAAAATGAACACTATAAAACTACACATCATTACTCAGAAGTGGTCTTGTTAAAATCTAAATTTAGCCTTTTTTATTTCCCATGGAAGGAAATGAAGTTGAGAACATTTAATTAGAAAAAAGTAGAAAATACATTTCTATTATGAAAACAAAAGGACACAGAATTCTAAAATTCACTTTAAAGAAGTGAACAAGAGAAAATACTTGTTTTTGATGCTTATCAGACACTAAAATGTAACCCAATAAGCACCATGATGTGTTTTAAAAAACAGCAAAGGCAAATTCTTTTTTTTACAAACATTCCTCAAGAGTTGAAATCAGAAAGAAAATAGGTGAGAAAACTTAAGGAGAACCTAAACACCTAATGATACCTACAGGGCTGGAACCTGGACGAATCTAAAAAGCAAAAAAATAACAAAAAAAGAATGAACAGTAAATCTGTGTACTTGGAATTCCTCTAATATTTATTGTTAAAATGAGACAAAGGAGCAGAAGATTATCAAATGAATTCATGAATAGGATGTTCAATTTCTCTTGTTCTAATAATTGCAACTTGAATGAAAACATAACATTCACACAGTTTCTGAATTTTTATTAGCATTTCCCATCTTTGTTGCCACTGTTTTAGTTCATGTGGACTGGAAGTTGTCCTTCATGGTTAGAAGGGCAAGACCATGTTGGGAGAAGGACAGACATAGCCAGTAGTCTATACTATGGCCTCCACTTTCACAAAGCATGTCTCCAATCGCAGGACGACGTTAGAGACATATTTGGGAGCATGTAGAGCTGATCTTAGGAATTTTCATTGAACATGATCTAGTGGGTCAAGCTGGGCTCCATACAGCATTTGTGTCATTGGTTTAACTTCAAAAGGTTTAAGTGTCACTCATATAAAGTGGCCTCCTCTCACCATGAGGTATCTTAAGATGGTGAACGAGCTCTTTTGTGCTGTCACTGCTGCATACTCTGTGTTGGCTTGTCTGCTGTTAATGTATGGAGAAGCACTCCCAGGTATTTAATACTTGAAACCTGCTCAATTTTGTGTCCATCTATTCTCCAGTTGTGCTTCTTTGGTCATATAGTGAAAATCATAATTTTGGTTTCCTGAAGGCTGAGATGCAGCTGTTCTGAATTGCAGTTATTG